TCTCATGGAAAAGGGTGACTCTGGCATGGTGGATGGGTCCTGCATTCCTGCCGGCTGGACAGGAGTGGCTTTGACCCCTTTATGCCAGGCAGGTGTTCTTCAGTCCCCACCACTCCTCCTTCACGTCACACTGTGACCCCAGTTATTCCTCTCCCAGCATGCCACACCCTTGCAATATGACTGCAGCTCCTCCCATCAAAAGTTGGAGGCTATCTCCCTACCCCTTGAATCTTGTCAAGGCCTCACCACTTGCTTGGTGAAGAAGTGAAGGCATGCTGGTTCTGACCTCATGTGTGCCTGCTCATTTTCTTGAAATCCTGTTCAGCCACCCTGAGAACAAGCTGGGGCTAGCCTGATGGATAATGAGAGACATGTAGGCCAGTCAACCCTGGTGCCCCAGCTGCAGCCAGCTAATTGCCAGCCATGTTGAGTGCAGCCACTCCAGAGCAGCCACACTTCAGCTCACCTGCCAGCATGTAAGTGATCTCTAAGCCAAGATCAGCTTGTCTGACCCAGATCAGCAAAATAACTCAGTTGAACTGTAGACTTGTAAGAAATACTAAACACTTATTTTAAGCCACTGAGTTTGGGGATGTTTTGTTATCTAGCAGTAGCTGACTAATATACACACACTCTGATTTTTTTCAGTTACATACATTACCTATTCAGTTCCTGTGAACAATTGAGCTAGGGAACCCTGGATTAGGCAGAGATTTTCAAACTTTACTGTGCTTAAGAATTTCCCAGAGAATTTACCTAAAATATGGATTCCTGAGCCTCACTCCCAGAAAGTTTCAGTAGATCAGGTGAGCCCCAGATGCCTGCATTTTAACCTGCACATCTGATCCTGGCACAGGTAATCCATGGTAGTCCATACTCTGGAAGCCATTTGTTCACGAGAACAAATCACTAAAACCATAATGTAATCTCTAATATTACCCTTCCTCTAATAACAGGAGAGAGAGAGAGAGAAAAGAGTGGGTTTTGGCCAAGGAGGGAAAATGCTGGGCTGATCTGTGAAAACTGATAAGCAACGAGAAAGACCTCCCTGTTCAGAGTCACAGGGACTGGATTTTACTCTTAGTATTGATTCTTGATTTACATAAAGAAATATATTGCTTCTAATTTACATAAAGAGATTTATGACCAAATAGGTGAACAACAAAACCCCAATCTACTCATAGGAAGTTGACTGGAAGCTGATGAACCAAAGGAGGGGGACTAGCTGGAGCCCAGCTGCAAAGACAGAGCAGGAGGCCACAGGGAAGAAAATAACGTGACGTTGAAAAGAAGTGAACATGATAGCCTTGCAGCAGATCCCAGAAGCTAGGAAAGGCGCCTGCCTGCTTTCATTCCCGTTGGGTCTGTCAACTGACCACTGGTTGTTCCACCAATGTTCACTGAGGACCCACAACGTGCCAGACACAGACCTCGAGTTGGCACACAGCAGGAAGAAGCACAGATAAAGACTCCTCTCCTGGTGGAACTTACATTCTAATGGGGTGAGGGGACACAGGTGATAAACAAAATTTATATTAGATGGTGTAGTGGGTCAAATTGTGTGCCCCCAAAATATGTTCAAGTCCTAACCCTGGGTGCCAGTAGAATGAAACCTTATTTGGAAATAGGGTCTTTGCAGGTTCAACAAAGTTAAGATGAGGCCGTCAGTGTAAGCCCTAGCCCAGTACGAATGGTATCCTTACAACAATAGAAGAGACACAGACAGGGGGGACCTCCTTGCAATGACGGAGGCAGAGATTGGAGTGATGCACCTATGAGCTACGGAATACCAAGAATTGCCGGCAACACTAGAAGCTAAGAGAAAGCCACGGAACAGCTTCTCCGCTAGAGCCCTAGGAAAGAGCACGGCCCTGCCGACACCTTCATCTGGGACTTCTGGCCTTGAGAACTGGGAGAGAATAAATTTCTGTTGTTTTAAGCCACACAGTTTGTGGCATTTTGTTACGTGGTCCTAGGAAACCAAAGGAGATAAACGCTTAAGAGAAAAATAAAGCAGGGAATGGAAATAGGGAGTGCCGAGGGTTAGGTCTGTAGTTTAGATAGAGGCACTTGGAAGTCCCCGCTAAGACCTGAGAGTGGGGAGGGAGGCAGGCATGTGGATATTTAGGGAAAGAGCATTCCAGACAGCTGGAACAGAAAGTGCAAAGGCCCTGAGGCAGGAGAGTGTCTGCTGTGCTCGCGGCTGCAGCAGGCTGGATTAGGGGGAGAGGTGGGAGACGAGATGGGGGAAGAAAGAGAAGGGCCAGTGTAGAGCCTTGCAGGTCATAGTAAGGCTGAGTGAGAAAGAAAGCTACTGGAGGGTTTTGAGCAGAAGAGTGGCGTGATCCGATTTTTTAAAAAGAGCAACGGGTTTTTTTTTAAAGGATCACTCAAACTGCTGTGTGGAGAAGATGCCAAAGGGCAAGAATGGAATGTAGGAACCCAGCTAGGAGGACTGTTTTAAAATAGGCTAGAAATCGTGCTGGCCTGAAGGGGGAAGTAGGTGGAGGGATGGAGGGAAGGGTAGCAGTTGTTTCTCGCAGGTGGAGCCAAGAAGATCCGTTGGTTATAGCGAGAGGAGGCTGGGATGACTCCAAGGATTTTGGCCTGAGTCACTAGAAGCAAAGACTTCCATCCAAAATAACGACTATTTGACTTGTTTGTGAGGGATTTTCCATATTTTACTTATTGCACATATTCTAATCTTTGGTCATAATTTCCACACGTACAGTATACAGGTACTGAAAAACGTCTAAACAGAAAAACTCATTTTTATTAAGAAAAACCATTTGCCAAAAAGCCTTAGTATGCAACACATGAATCTTTATATGGGTAGATATGTGAGAGATATCAAGTGCTTAGTAATGTGCTGAAATGTGATACAGACCAGGAAGAGAGCTTTTAAAATACCCGGTTAAAAAGGCCCTGTTGTGTTTAACAGGAATCCAGCCTAGGCGCTGCAGAAGCCAGGCAAACAGCTTCAGGGCCCTGGCTCGGGTTCCTTGAAGTTGCCTGGCTAGGGAGTGCATTTGTTGGGCTGGGACCAGGATGGGTGGGGGCCCCGGTGTCCGGTCACGCAGTCTAGACTTGCATGGCACAAGCAGATATATATGATGACACTCTAGCGTTTGCTTTGGGCTTCACAGAATGTGTATGTAGCGTTCCAGTCCAAAGGAAACTATTGTCAAACCAGGCTTATGGCCTCCTCTGGACACCAGGAACTCAAACAGCAGACAGCTGGGCAATTCTCAAATGAAACCTGCCCACGCTGCGCCAGCTTGAATAATCAAGGCCACGCGGCCCGATAGGCAACACTGCCAAGTCTGCCTCGGGAAATCGCAGCAGTGGGCAGACCTGAAAGTTTTAATTTCATTTTCTGCATAAGAAATCATTTTTAAAAGGAAACGAAAAAGCCTGTAAGGAAACCCCCAGGAGAAGGGATTTGCCAGGGCATCTCCGGGTCCTGCTCCGGGGCGGCGGCTCAGCTGGCAGCGCAGCCCAGGCGGCGGAGGGGCGGGACCGCTCCTCCGGGAGAACGCCGGCGAGCACGAGGGCGGGCGCCGACGCGAGCGGCTGCGGCGTGAGCGGCTGCGCACGGGACCCTGATGGACAGGAGGGGGCTTGGGGTACATTTTTGTCCTTTCCCCGGAGCAGCGGCAGAAGTGGTCGGGCTGGCCTGGCCTTTACGCAGGGCGGACGGATCGGGAAGGCACGGCCCCGGGCTGCGTCCCCGGTTCCATTCAGCCCGTCCGCACGGAAACTTCCACCCGGCGGCGGTGGCCTCCCGCCTCTGCGCACGCGCAGCACGGCCGGGTGGCTGCCGGGGACCCCGGCCCCAGTGCGCATGTCTCCACGCCTCGGCCTGCGCGCGGCGGCAGGAGGTGGGGCCGGCAGACGCAGCTCGGCCAAGGGCGGTGCACCGCCTTCCCCACTTCTCCCTCTCACCGCAGCCAAGTCTGGTTTAGTAGGGCCCACGCCGCCGGCGCCGCCGCCACCCCTTCAGCTCCTCCCAGTCGCGTATCCTTCCGACGCGGTCCCCTCCTGGGCCGCACGGAGGAGCGCCCCAGTGCGCAGGCGCGGTAACCAAGACGGCGGAGTCTAGTGAGGATTTGAAATCGGCCGCGCGTGCGCACTGGCGTGCCGGTCCGGGCGAGGGAGGCCGCGCTTCCTCCCCCCCCGCCCCCGCCCCCTCCCGGCGCCCTCCCCGCCCCTCATTGGAGCGGAGGCGGCGGCGCCCCCTCCTTCCCCCGCGCCCTGTCGCCGCCGAGAGTGTCTTTTCGCCGCCGCTGCCGCCGCAGGAGCACGGAGTCAGCGGCGCGAGCGTGACTGAGGGCCCGGCGCACGGCGGCGGCCCTCCCGCGGGTCCCGGGCCGCGCGGCGCCTGGGCCCGCCCCCTCGGCCGGCCGCCCGCCCCTCTCCGATGGCCTCTCCCCCCGGCCGGAGTGGAACGCCGCCGCCGCCGCGGCCCCCGTGCCAGCCCCGCGCCGCCTGAGGGAGCCCGCCAGGCCCGAGCCGACCGCCGCGGCCTGTCCGCGCCCGCCCCGCGCCGCCACCCCGACGGGAGCCGCCGCCGCCGCCCGCCCGCCGGAGCCGCAGCCCAGGCCCGTCCGCCCGCCCGCGCGCCGTGCGCCCGCCCGCGGCCCGTCCGTCCGTCCGTGCGCTCGCGGCGCGGCCGGGGCCCGGGGCGCGGCGGGGGCGGGGCCGCGGCGGGGCGGGCGGGCGCGCGGGCCCGCGGGGCGGCGCGTGGATGGATCCGCGCGTGGCCTGGATCCAGCCCGAGCAGAAGGGGCCGGCCAATGCCCTGTGGATGCAGATCTGGGAGACCTCGCAGGGCGTGGGCCGCGGCGGCTCCGGCTTCGCGTCCTACTTCTGCCTCAACTCGCCCGCGCTGGACACGGCGGCCGCGGCGGGGGCGGCCGGGCTGGGCGGCGGCGGCCTGGCGGGGCCCGCGCTGCCCGCCGCGTCGCCTCCGCCGCCCGCGCCCGGCCCCGCCGCGCTGCCCCCCGCGCTGCTGACGGCGCTCGGGCCCGCGGCCGAGGGCGCCCGGCGCCTGCACAAGTCGCCGTCGCTGTCGTCGTCGTCGTCGTCCTCGTCCAACGCCGAGTCGGGCACCGAGAGCCCCGGCTGCTCGTCGTCGTCCTCGAGCAGCGCCTCGCTCGGCCGGGCGGGCGGCGGCCGCGGGGGAGCCTTCTTCCACTTCGCCGACGGCCCGCCGAGCGCCCCGGGCGCGGCCAACGGGCACCCCGGGCCGCGCGGGCCCGCGCCTGCCGGCTCGCCGCCGCCGCACCAGTTCCACCCGGGCCGCCGGAAACGCGAGAACAAGGCCAGCACGTACGGCCTCAACTACCTGCTGTCGGGCAGCCGCGCGGCCGCGCTGAGCGGAGGGGGCGGCCCCGGGCCCCAGGCGCCGCGGCCCGGCACGCCGTGGAAGAGCCGCGCCTACAGCCCGGGCATCCAGGGGTGAGTGCGCGCGGGGGCCGGGCGCGGGGTGGGGGGCGCGCGCCCCTCCCTGCCAGGTGCGCGGACCCCGCCGTGGGTGCCCCGGGCGCTCGGACATCCTCTGGGTGTTCGTAATTCCCGGATGGATGTTGGAGGCCACGATCCGGCTCTGCCCTGGGGTGTCTTTTTATTTATTTTTATCTTTGGAAATTTCAAACTCCTGTTATAAACGAGTGATATGCGCGGATTCTGGAACAGGGCAAGAAAGGGCCGCTGAGTCCGACTCGTGCAGACGTTTCCCTTCTCTGCCTCTTGAAACTAGAAAGGGAGATCGGATACTTTCCCTCCCCCGAGACAAGTTAGGGACCCTTTGTCAAAGTAGCCTGCAGAAAGGTGTGGCGTTTTTAAGTTAAGTTGGAGACTGTTTTAGTATTGCCAGGAACTTGGATAAAGGTAAATATTGGTTAAATGTTAACTGTTTTTTTTTTTTTATTTTAAGAAAATCCTTTAGAAACGTGATTAGGTTTTTGGTAGTGATGCAATCTAACCAGCAGTGAATTTAGAAGTGGCTTTTTTTGGGAGGGGGCTGGTATGTTACGATTAAATTTTGTGCTGAAATTAACATGAAAAGCATCATATGCAAATTTTTTTAAAACCAGTTAAACTTTTTTTTTTTTTTACCGTTTTAAATAAAAATATTTGTAGCACATACTTAGTTTTTGGAAGATGCCGTCTTTAAGTATTTTCACATCAAATACAAGGGATTAGAAATTCTGTTTAAGTTTAGTGCAATTACAGACAGCAAGGACTGGTGAAAATGTGGGTGTGTGTATTTGGATTGGAGCAGGCCCAGGTGAGGCTTTTCAGGTACAAATGCTACCTACCCGGCTCCTTTGCCTTACTGAGCTTTTCTGAGCACTAGAAACAAAGCATTTGTGCTTAGGTCTTCTGTCAGTATTTCAGGGCTTAAATCATAGACTTCCCCTTGCACAGTTGCATGCTGACTCAAACAGAACCTGAGGATTTCCCAGGGTGTTAGAGTTGTTACAAACATTGGAGTCCTACAAATGCCACAATTGCTAAATGTTGAGATTACTTCTTAAAGTAACTCTTTTTAGAGGTCTGTTTATTCTCTTTTGAAGTATGTTAGAAAACACTTAAGTTGATACTGTTTTAAAGTGTGATACACGGTAATGGCTGCATGTTCTGCAATTTGTTGCACCTGGTTTCCAGTAGAACTGTTACTTTTGTAAATTCCCTGAAGCCTGAGCATGCACTTCAGACCCAACAGGGGCCCAGTCCAGTCTCCTCTTCCCTCTCTCCCTCCAGTTCTTACTTGTAGAACTTTCTGAGAAGAAGCGGTGGAGAGCAGTTTCTTGATGTATGACATTATACGTAAGAGTTTTTGGGGGACACCTGCAGGTTTTCAGCCTGCCACGTAACTGGAATTGGCTCTGCGTCTTAGCACTAGGAAAATAGACAAGCGGTCTTCACTTCTAGAGCATTTTTGTGCCCAGACAGTCCAGAGCCCTGCCTCCTCCTTTCATGAGTGTTTGGCAGTGGCAGCGTCGTGCACTTGTGCACAGCACTCGATCGCTCAGCCTCTCGGAGCTCACCCATAGGTTTCTAGCAGGCTTCAGTGTTGCTTTTCTTAATAAAGGAGTCCATTGCTTGCCAGGTACTTTGCTATGGTCTGGGGAGGGGTTGGTGTGGGAGTCGCACAGTCTCATGATCCTGACCCATAACCTGGTCCTCCCTTGTGAGTGCTGCCTGCCCAGCACGCATGAGCACCATTGGTCCAGGTGTGCAGATCTCGCTCCTCTCCCCCTCTCTCGTCTCCTGCATTTCATCACATCGTGTCCAGTCTCTCTGTACTTCATCCTTGTCACCCTCATGCGGACTGTGGTCACCTCTAGTGGAGGTGCCTCATAGCCTGAGGTGGTCGTCTTTCATGCACTCTCGCCCGCCTCTGGGCCTTTCCTAGCATTGCCAGTGGGGTGATCTTGTCACCAGCAGGTCTGGTCTAGTCTCACCCTGTTGGAACCCTGTGATGGCACCTCCCTTATCCTCCTTACGCTGAAGACTGAATCCTGAAACTCAGCACATCTCCAGAGTGCTGCTGCTCTGGGCCCTGCCTGGGGGCTGCTCTCCCTCTCTATCAGGGTCCTACCGCACCCCACTGCCGGCCTGTTAGAATCCAGCTTAGTGGTCTTATGGGGCTAAGAGTGGCTCTGAGGCAGCCAGGAGGTCTGTGATTTAACCCCCCTAATGTGGGATCCTGGCAGGGATGCTCATGTTAATGCTCCTGTTTTCTCTTTTGCTGGCCACCCTTCCTTTCCTGTCTCTGGGAGGTGTGTACTGCCCTCAGAATACCTGCTTTCGGCCATCTTGGTCTAGAGGAGGCACCTGCTAGGATTGCCTGCTGGTGCCTGGAAGGGTAGGGTGCCCTCTGCTTGGTTCACCACTCCCCATTCCTCCAGCAGACTGCTGTTTCAGGGGGACAGAGAGGAGAAAGTAGTAAATCGAGTAGCGGTTGAGCCATGCCTATGATTAGAGGAGGACGGTGTCCTTAAGGATCGTTTCCATGGACCTGCTAGGCTTATTGGACCTAACCTTTTGGAATCAAGAAATAGGTCTGTCTTACCCAGAGTGATGGGGAAGGCCACCAAAGTGTCTTTTGCTTGTGCCTTAGAAAGGGAAAGAACTGAGAAAAAAGAGCCTGGCCTGGCCAATAGAAAAGGACCTTATTGATGAGAAGCTGTAGGGACTTACTGTATAGTCCGAGGACAGGCGTTTCTGGAAGGACTGTCTGCAGTCCTCAAGGAAGGATAAACAGTTGCCTGGTGTGGCGGGAGTTTGAGTAGCATCAATGGAACCCAGCTGGGCCTTTGCCTGGTGGCCCATACAGCAGCCTGCACTATTTTTTTTTCTGAGGAGGAGGTTCCTGCCCTTGGAAACTTTGCCTGGTGGCCTGGCCTTGCGAGAGTGCCAGTCTGCTTTCCTCTTTGAGTAAGATGAAGAAAAAGCAGGTGAGAGAAGATAGTGATTAGTGCCAGAACCTTTGGAATGGAGAAGGTGAAATGCTTGCTTTGGAGCTGCCATTGACCCTAGTTCTTCCATTTTTTTCGTTGAAGTCTTAAACTTTTGTTTTGGGAACAGTGTGAACAGTGTGAACAGTGTGAGATGTGCTGTCTACCTGGGCTTCTGACCTGCAGCTGCAGGCAGGTGTGTGGACAGGCTCGCGGGCCCTGCATCTCCTGGCCTCTGACTGCTGCCTCTTTTGCATTTCTTCCCCTCCTGACCCAGCAGTGCTTTGTTACTTGGCCCTGGTCAGTCTCAGCAGCTTCGGAAGCCTCCTCAGGTTAAAGGTAAAGAAAAGTTCTGCAGAAGTGAGGGCGGAAGCGTGGACCTCAGATACCTTGCCCCATCCTTAGTGGTAACCTGTAGAGCCCCAGGAAGAGCGTAATGAAGGAGGCAGGCCCCCAGGCCCCTGGCTGACACCCGCCGTCCCGGGCCCTGACCAGGCTGCAGTGCAGGGTTCGGCCTTTCCCAGGTTGTCCTCTGAAGCATGCTGCAGCCGTCATATGCAGCGTCCTTTCTGCAGGTCCTTTGACAGTGTTTAATATTTTGACATCTGTTCCCCCAAAGAAAATTCCGTTCTTTTTCTGAAGTTTGTGAGAAACCGTCGCAGACGTTATTCATGGGACGCGGTCAGCCACGAGCCTCAGGACTCTGGGTGTGGGTTCTTTCGAACTCCGTGTGTGTTCTCTTCGCTCTCTTCTGAGGGAGTCAGAGCCTGAAGGAGCATCCAGGATCCCTGCTCTCCCTCTGTGGCTCCAGCCTGACTTGGCACTCTCTAAAGTAGAGCAAATGTGAGCTCTCCCAGTGCATTCTTATGGGGACCAGGTGGGAGGGCACAAGAAAAAGCCCAGCAGGGCCTGCTGTCATCTCACTAGTTGTCTTTCTTTCATCCTTATCTCTTTCCGTAAACGTCACGGGACACATGGGAGAGGTTATTGTGAGATCTGCCTGAAAAGGTGGTGGTGGCACACTTGGGCCAAAGGTCTAAGGGAGGTAGGAATGATGGCCCCATGCCCGTGTTTGCTGCCGCACTGACCATTTATGAAATGAGCTCCCGCTCAGACACTCCTCCTTGCTCTATAATAGCATCGCTGTTCCTGCCCATTGTACCATGGCCAGTCTCTCCGCAGAGTGGAACTGAAAATCCAGCGTAAGAGGCTGGCTGTGATGGAGTTGGGGACAGTTACACCGCGACTGACACACAAGGGTGGGCAAAGTTAGGACTGCCGATACTTGGTGAAGGGGCTGCCGACGAGGAGGGCAGGACCGACACTTTGGGAAAGGAGGACTGGAGTATTAAATAGGCTGGAGATGTGTGTGGGGGGGGTCTTTTGGAAAACTGGAAGCCTCAAATGTTTTTGCAAAAGACGACCTTCTTAATGCTCATGCTGTAGAAGTCATTGTGGGGTAAGGCAGACCCCTCTAGTTGCTGTGAGCTTTTCATAGAAAGGCAGTGCCATTTGCTTCTTAGAAGTAATGCATGTTGTGACTTAGTGCTTTTTCAGGTAATTTTCAAATAAATGTTTTAAAGTAAAAAGTAAGTTTTTCATAGTTTTGAGATTTGTATTTGAAGGAAAAGTCTCAGACCTTTTTTTGATCACTACTTAATAGGAAATTTTGGTCCTCATTTTAAGTGGATTCATGTAGGTGGCCTATGGGAGGAAGGATAACAGTTATCTTTAGAAAATGAGGACTTTTTGTTCTTTGATTAGGTCATTACGGTTTAGGATCTGATTTTTTTTTTTCTGGGGAATATTCACCCTGAGCTAACATCTGTTGCCAATCTTCCTCTTTTTTTTTTTTCTCTCCAAAGCCCCAGTGGTAGTTGTATATTCTAGTTGTAAGTCCTTGTAGTTCTTCTATGTGAGCTGCTACCACAGCATGGCTACTGGCAGTTGGGTGGTGTGGTTGCACGCCTGGGAACCGAACCTGGGCCGCTG